AGAACATGGAACCATACACCGCCATATGTTTTGTCTTTTGTGCAAGTAGTGACGAGTGGAGAAAGGCCCTTAGGGTCACTGCTCGTAGGAAAACGAAACAAAAGAAAGAGATGCAATCAGAGTCCTCTCATTCACACTTTTCATGCATGTGAACAGCAGCACAGCAAACTGGCGACATGCGCCCACACGGTACTCAGAGATATGGCTTGCAGGTAAGAGTTCACTTCCACTGGTTATGGCGACTCAGCGCCCAACAATCCACTGTTCACACGCACTGGATCACCCTGGATATCCCACACGCGTCACTCTGCACCCTCGCACAACATACACACACACACTGACTACAGCTATGGCAGCGCTAGCTGCCTCTACCCTAGCGCTATGGCTACACTTCATCACTCTCGCCCACTTCGATTTCGGGCCTGCTGCAGACCTCCTCGCACAAGACGCTGAGACAGCGCTTCCGCATGGCTTCCGCAGGAATGAATGAATGGCTGTGCGCGGCCTCTTGATTTATACTTCTGTGACTCGTTGGTCTGCCCTGTTTCCCTGGCCCACGGTGTACGCAGTCCCAGACGGTACTTGCTTGACTGGACTGGACTGACTGGACTGGGACTGCTGACTCTGCATGGTGTACTCCCACCACTTGCCCACTTGCCTGGACCTACAGTGGGCTGACTCCGAAAGGCCACTTCTAGAAACATCTACTTGGCCTTTCGGTACTGTAGCAGCTACGACCTTGCCCTTTCAGGTAAGTTGCAGCTACGACTTTGACCCTTCGGAAAGTCTACAGCTAAGACCTCTGGACTGTCTAGACTCCTACCCGACAGGTCTACAGTTCGAATCCCCTATACCCTGTAACCTACGACGTCCTACCTACCACTGGCGATCCTACAGGTCGCAGGTTCAACTCTACGGGTTGACACAGGTACGGTACACAGGTAAGGTGGGGATCTAGGGATCGAGCCCTGGGATCTGCATCAGCTACTGCGAACTGGTGAATACCGTTTCACTCCCGCCGGCCTAAATTCGACGTCCTCCGATAACATTTCAGTCCAAGGCAGGACCTTTACCTTTCTTGTCCCTTTCGTAGGCCTTGACTATATCGGGGGCTGTTTCTAGGAGTTCAGTCCTAGTGAACCATCGGTCGTCTTCTGGTTCCTGATATGCAAACCTGACTTTATACTATTTCTGAGGACGACCTCGACCTCCTGTTCTAAACACATCTTCACCTACAATGCCGTCAATGTCATACCTCCCATCCATGTGTGGAGGGATCATGGAACGCCTAGAGGGAAACTGATCACTTATTGTGCACGGCAACAACTTTGACGCATGGAAAACTGGGTAGGTGTGGAGGTGTAGTGGAATCTCTATTGAGTAGGACGGACCATCTTTGCCGCCCTTGACTGCTAGGACTGGCCACGATCCTCTATACACGGGCAGTAACTTTTGCGAGATGTTCTCCTCGGGAGTAAATTCTTTAGCCTTGACCCAGACTAAGTCGCGTACTTGGAACTGTGACAGGCGACGATGTTTGTTGGCTTGCTCTATCATCCTATGCTGGGCCTTCTTGAGGTTCTCTACAACAGTAGCTAGTTCTTTCTCGTGCTGGATCGCAAACTCCCTAGTACTGGGCGGTAGCCTATGAATCTGATCCCGGTTAAGTCCTTCAAACGGTCTGCGCGGTCTAAAGGACTTATGCAACTCATTGGGAGCGCCACACGTAGACAGGTGCACACTATTGTTATAGGCACTGGCTACCTTGGGGAGCATCTCGTCCCAGTCAACTTGATCTGGTCTAATGTACATTCTCAGAACTTGCTGCAGAATCTTATTTATCTATTCGGTCTGACCGTTAGTCTCTGGGTGACGGCCAGACGACACCAGCAACTTAGACCCATAGACTCTCATCAACTCCTGCCAGTTCTGACTTGTGAATCGGGTGTCTCTATCACTAACTATGGACAATGGGACCCCGTGCTCACTGACCCAATGATCAGAGAACTTACGGATCACTAACTCCGTTCGTGCCTCAGAAGGCAAAGGGATGAAAACAGCATACTTGCTGAATCTATCGACTATCACCATGACTTGGCTCTTGCCATGCCTACTCTTGACGCCTGCGTCCATGAAGTCAATGGACACTGAATCCCCGGGCTGATCAGGAATAGGCAAGGGTCTGAGAAGACCTAGCGGGGCACGCGTAGTAGACTTATTCCTCTGGCTGACCTTACAACTGCGAACATACTCTATGCAGTCATTCTTCATTCCTGGCCAGGTGTACGCGTGCATCAGGTTGGCTAGAGTCTTTTGCCAACCAAAATGACCCCCCGTATCGTGGCATTCTCCTAGGATCAGACTGCGGATCTCTTCACTATTGGGAATGCACAGGCGGTCCACTACGTTAGTCTTCTCGAACAGTAGTCCACCCATAGTGCGGAAATTTGGCTCGGTCTCTGGGGCCTCCTGTACTCGCTTGAGGAGGTCACTATAGATAGGGTCCTGCGCATACGCTTCTTTAACCCTTTCCTGCAGGTCTCTCCCAATGTCCAGATAGTGAACTATCGCTCCAAAGTAGTCCGCTCTCCTACTGAGAGCGTCCGCAACTGCGTTATATTTCCCCTTGACTGGCTTGAGCTCGAAGTCATATTGATCTATTTTTGCGGCCCACCTAGTAAGCTTAGGTGTCATCTTGGCCTGCGTCTTTAGCCATCTTAATGTTTCGTGGTCAGAATAGACTTTGAAGTGCCTCCCAAGCAAGTAGTGCTTCGAGTGTTCTAGCGCTTGCCTGAGAGCGTAGAGTTCCCTCTCGTAGGTCGAGGTCGCAACCTTCTCTGAAGGCATCCTAGCAGACATGAACTCCACGGGCTTATAACCATTGCCATCGTCTTGCTGCATAACAACACCTATGCCGTACTGACTGGCGTCCATAGTGACGACAAAGGGTAAGGACGGATCGACCACCTTAAGGACTGGATACTCTATCAGTGCCTGCTTCAACTTCTTCATAGCACACGTGCAATCCTTGTCCCACTTCCAAATAGTCTTTTTCCTAAGCAGTATGTGAAGGGGCGCAGCGATCGTGGAGAAGTTCCTTACGAACTTCCTATAGTAGTTCGCTAGGCCTAAGAACGACCGCAACTCTGCCAAGGTACTCGGTGTAGGCCAATCTCTGATCGATGCGACCTTACTATCCTCGGGCTTGATGCCGTCTCCGTCTAAGACGTGGCCTAGATACAACACTTGGGTCTTCGCCCATTCGCACTTATTTGCGTTGATCTTGAAGTTAGCTTCTCTCATCTTCTCCAAGACCTGCCTGAGATGACCCTGATGCTCTTCGAGGGTTTTGCTAAACACTAGGATATCATTCAAATAGACTACAACGAACCTATGTAACCACGGCCTAAACAAATCATTCATACATCGCTGGAAAGTTGCTGGCGCGTTGGTTAGTCCAAAGGGCATCACGATGAACTCGTAGTGCCCGTATCTAGTCCGGAAAGTTGTCTTGTAGTGATCATTAGGATGAACCTCTATCTGATGATATCCGGACTTTAAATCTATCTTCGTAAAATATCTGCACCCCTGCACCCGATCCAAAAGATCGTCAATCTTGGGCAGTGGTTCAACATTCTTAACTGTGATAGCATTCAGACCCCTATAGTCTATGCACATCCTAAGCTCTCCCTCTTTCTTGGGAACGAACAGAACAGGTGCCCCGAACGGGGACGAACTGGGCCTTATCCAACCCTTCTCTAGGAGCTCGTCAAGTTGCTTGCGCAGCTCCTCTAATTCCCACGGGGACATCCTATACACGGCTCCCTTGGGCGTTCTACTGCCAGGCTCTATCTCGATTCGATGTTGGATGGGCCGCGGAAGTACTCCTATCGGCGGTTCAACTAGATCTTTAAACTCCTCCAGCAGCTTGGCAATAGTAGGGTCTATAGGCTTCTCCTCCTTAGGCTCAGTTACTGGCTTGACATAGGTTACAAAAACCTGTTCCTCTAGTTGCTCCTTCTTTACTAGCCGTGCAAACGCAGGAGCACTAAGGCAGCAATGTGCCAGGGAGTTGTCTACTCCTGACACATGGAACAGACGGGCAGTCTTGACGCCGCCTGACGGACTAGGGAGCCTACACCCGTGCTTTCTCAAATGGAGTGTGGCCCCTGCTGCCTCTCCCCAGTCCATACCTAGGACTATATCGAACGGGAGGCTATCCTCTACGAGGAGAGTCAGGGAATGGAGAACTTTCTCCACCTTCCCATCCTGTTCTAGGCGAAAATAGGCCTTGACTCCCTCTACATACTCTTCCACCCGCATGGTGCGATTGTCCGCGAGGGTACTTACTATGGGTTCTGTTAGTCTCTGGACTTTCAACTGCAGCTTCAGCTTCTGCAGCGCCTTCCTACTAATATAACTACGAGTGGCTCCACTATCCACTAAGGCGCCTGCTCGTCCTCTAAAAATCTTTGTGTCTACTAATATAAGCTGCCCCTTATTCTCCTTTTTCATCTTGGCCCAGGCGGGCATCCTCTCCTTCAATTCTTCAGCCACGCCTGTGAGGGAGGTGTCTAGAGAGACTCTAACACAAGCAGTCTCTCGACAACCATCTAGACACGGGCCTGCAACCTCTGCCATAGGCACGTGTGGTGTGGGAGTTTCCTGCCGGCTAACGCTACTTTCTCCACATGGCCTTGTGGTAGGGCCAGTTGCTACCCCTACCGGCGGCTGCCTTTTGGCCCTTGAGCAGCCAATCGGGTCTCTTTATACTTCGGACAGTATTTAATGATGTGGCCAGGGTCACCGCAATAAATGCACTGCCCCTGGCTCACACAATGTTGCCATAAGCGTTGGTCCATGCCCAGATCTTCCCAAGGCCTGCCCTGTGGCAAGCCTTGGGTGTCAATCACTTCTACTATACGGGGACCTATTCCCAGACCGGTTTTGAGGGGTACCTTGACCCCTTCCTCCCGCTTGGCGGGTTCCTCCTCTGCCGCCAACCCCCTGATCGCCCTGAGAACAGCTCCCTGAGGCCCGGACCCCTTGGCCCTGGCCTCGTCCTCCTCCTTGCGGCCTCCCTCCAGCTGCGACAACAGCATAGGTCCTCCCTTGACTGCTGTTAGTGTCATCGTCCTCTAAACCCCACTCAATCTGTTCGTAGGGGATCTCGTCAACACTACCTTCGTCTAAAGTGAGGACAAGACTATCCTTAGTCTTAACTTGCCCTGAGATAGTGTGACCTTTCCATTGCTTTCCTTTGTCGAGGTCTTTGTGCCAGAAAGTAGAAAGTGGCACCGACTTCGCCTCGAAAGCCACCACTTCACGGCTAAGGGAATCATAAGTGGTGGCAGGATCTTCGCTCTTTGCGAAGAAATGCCCTCGAAAGGTTTCGGGCATAGCCCGATAGAAGAGGCCGACCAAGTGGGTCTCAGTGACCCCGTGGTCAGGAACAGCCACTAATTCGTCCATTACGCCCTTGAGTGCCCTGGCGCTCTTCCATTTACGAGAGTGGATTGTCTGAAGCTTATCTGAGGCCTTAACACTACGAGCAACATCAGCGAGCCGCTCGCGCAGCAATTTCATGAAATCGACAAGGGGGGTGAACGACGAGTAGGCCACTTCATCGTTGTTGCAGTTAGCAGCGCGGACTAGAGATCTCGCGAAACTGGCAGCCTCATCTCTAAGCACGTGGATTGCAATCAACACGTGCTGGTCCGGGGAGACCTGTTGCAAATGCACATAGGTCTTGACGTTGGCCTCCCAATTGTCAAAGTTCTCTTCCCTCTTTCCACTGTAGGAATTGGGGAACTTCGCTTTGACTAGCTCCTTGCGAGGATGTGCCTCTCCTCTTTGGGAGTTGTCCGCTTGACACCTTCAATGGCGCCCACGCATAATCGTTCTGTCTTCTTGAGGCGATGGTTCACCTCGGCCCCAACTGCGCCTACCAGTTCGCGGGTAAAATCCCGGAATCCCATCCGCATCGAGCGCACGGCCATATCCTGACTTCTACTAAACTCATATTGTTCTCCTTGTACCCGGGCTAAGCGCTCAACACTGCGCAATGATCTCCACCCTTCGTTGGAGATCCACCTGGGCGGCCATCTGTTCTCTCAAGTTCTTTACTTGCTCTAGTTCCCTGGTCGCCTCACTCGCTGCTTCCACTCTCCTCTTCTTTTCCCTCATCATCCTGAGCCTCCATTCCATTCTTTTCTCATCCTCCATCGCCTGTCGCTTTAGGGAATCTTCCTCTGCATCCCATTCTTTCATGGCGGCCTCCTGCTCATCTTGGGAATATACATGGCAACCTCCTCCTCTTCTCCCAAAGACAAGTTGGCAACCCATTCTGAAATCCTCTTTTCCATTTCATCAGTTTTACTCCCACTGTACTGCCCTCGTTGCTCTCTCCTCCTTTCCAACGGCTGTTCATCTTCCTCCTCCTCCTCTTCCACCTCTTTTAACTTCGCTTCTTCTTCTTTTTTCAACCTCTCCTTCTCTCTGGCCATCTCCTCCTCAATCTTCTTCAATTTCGCCACCTGCTCCTCCAACAAGGCCTTCTTCTTGGCCTCCTTCTTCTCTCTCCTCTCTTTCAGGATGGCGGCGGCCTTGGCCTCTTCTTCAGGGGTGTAGGGGTGTGTGGTTGTACTACCCTTGGTCTCTACCCTACACGCAAATGTGTTCCAGAATCCCAACAAAAACATGAAACGCCAGAGGGTCCCCCAAAGGGAGAACCAACTAGTAAACCATACATGGGGTAGTCATCCATGGTGTTCAGGTGCACGACAATGTCCCACTCCTCACCATGTAGACCTACCCAAATCACTAACTGACCGACTCTCTAAGGACCACAGGGTAGAACCCTGTCAGCTATGGTCACTAACCTAAGGCTGTCACTGCTGAACCAGTGGCTGATCTGGAGGCATTTAAGGAGATCCCCCTAACTCCGCAAGAATTCTTTAACGTCGCAGACAGGACGACGTGATCAGCTTGGTTCTGCCTGTGCTTTCAGCCCACAACTCAGCCTTTCCGGCCTACTGTTCCACACCGAGCAGCCCGCCGGTCTATACCGGTCCTTGGGAGGGTTCGTATCCCCCGGGACAGTCGAGTCGTCAGACACAGATCCCCAACCTTACTTGGTCTGGTAGGGGAGTGGTTCAAACAGGCCCTCAACACTTAAAGACTGCCTGGTGTGTCAGCCCCAAACCAGTCTTTCAGGCCCACTGTTCCATACCAACCGTGTCCAGCCGGTCAGCACCGGTCCTTGGGAGGGTTATGCCCCCCTGGACAGTTGGATCTTTCACAGCCTCAGCCCTACTAGATCCGGTAGGGGTTTCGTCATCCAGGCCTATCCTTCATGCTTAGAGTACTACCACTTAGGACAGAAGGGACTCGATGCAGAAAGAAGAGACAGACAGACTCAGACTCAGCAAGTACCGCGGGGTGAGTGCACATCCACACGGTGAGGGGATAGGCTAAGGGCTTGGCGAGATGTTACCAACTCCAGCTTGGTCAAAGTCTTGGTCAACGGCGCCGGTCAACTCCTCGGTCAACGCTTGGTCAACGCAGCATGACCCTGGTCAACACCTCGGTTAACCCTCCAGTCAACGTCCAGTCAACCCTCCGGTCAACTCTCCACCTCGGCTATGGCTGCCGACACCTTCTCCTTCGCCACCCTTGTCTCCTCCTTCCTCCTCCTTCACCTTCTTCTTCCTCTCTTCCTTCTCTCTGTACTTCCTTTTTTTTTTTTTTTGTCACCCTCGGCTATGTCTGTCTTCTTCTCCGATATCCCTCCTTCTCTGTCCTCCTTCGTGGGTCTGCTCAACTCGCTTCACAGGTAAGTGACAACCAAACTTGTATCGCTCCTCTCTCTCTCTCTCGCTGTAGCGGTATCCTTAGTGCAGCAGGTAGTAACCCAATCTTGTATC